GTCAGGGCAGGGCCCTGGTTCTTTGGTGGGAAAAGGCTCTCGAGGCCGGGATCCCCCCTAGGGGCCTGGGGTGCACGGTGCACAGCCATCTGCCCTGCGCTGGCTCCGGGCTCCTGCCTCCCAGGGTGGCACAGGCCTGTCCCCTGTTTGTTCCCAGCAAGATCCCGGGACTGCTGCCGCCTTGCTCCCTGGAGGCCTGACCCTGACCCTGGGCAGCAGCACTTCGTCCCCCAGCCCCTGGCCTTGGGCCAAGGCTACCTGTGGGGCCAGGGCCACCTCGTGTGAAGGTGGCTGGACTAGCTGACCTCGCCTGGGTTGGCTGGGCATGCCGGCCGGCCCCACAGCCAGGGAGGGGGCTGCCCTGTCTCTGCTGGTCCGGGTGGGCTGGGCAGCAAGGCTCCGTGGGTGACTCAGCGGTTAGCAGCACCCAAGCCCTGCCAGGCCTGTGGGATGTGGGCAGGCATCGAGCGCAGCCTGAGCCTGTGCAGCTGGGTCTGACTCTTTCCAAGAGGCTGCGGAAGTCTTGCATTTGCCCAGTTTGGGTGTAGAGCATCACACCACCACCGCTAATTAAATCCCAGAGTGAAAACATGTTTTACTGCATTTCCCACCGAGTCCAACAAGCCACAGGGAGTGTTGTGGGGCCTGCACCCACTCTGCACACCTGGGGTGGGGCACCGTCCCAGCTGCAGGCCCCTCCCTCCTGGGGGTGGAGGGCACAGGCTCTGGGCACCAGCTCCTGGTGGGTGTGGTGGGCACCTCTGGTCTGGGGCAGTGCCTGGGAGTCGGCACAGTGGGCAGGCTCTTGTCCCCTGAGGCTTCTCTGAGGGGTGCCTGGGACCCAGTGCCCCTTCCCTGGGCTTGGCACAGGGCCCTGCCTTGTCCTGAGTCTTGTTTGGAAGCTGGTCCTGCCTGTCCACTGTGTGGGTGTTTCCTGAGGTCCACCCGGGACCCAGAAGGCCTGGGTCAACTGAGGACGGGGCAGTTTGGGGGCATCTGCCCTGAGCGCAGCTGAAGTTGGAGCCCCTGGGAGCTGCTCCCCCAAAGCCTTTGTGGGCCCCACCCCACTGCCCCCCATTGCAGCGCCCAGAGGGAGCCCTGTGGCCGCCCCACCCACCCAGCAGCGGAGGGCCAGGCTTGGCTCCTTGCCTTGCCTCGGGCCCCACGGGACGGCTGCTTGGCCCACCAGGGCCCATGAGGCTCCAGTAATGGTTTTAATTTGTTGAACTTGTGTTTTATCCCATAAATTAGTCACTGTTTTATTTAACAGAATCGAGATATCCACAAACAATAGGCGAGTTCCAACTTGAACATTTTAATAAGACAGAAAGAAGTATATATTTTCACGTCTGTTACAAACATATTTATGTAAATAGCCCGTGGGCTGCGCTCCAGAGGGAGAAAGGGAAGGGCCTGGGAGCTGGGCGGCGGCGGGAAGGAGCTTCTGCGGTGGGGATGGCGCTGAGCTGGGTGCTGGGCACGCAGGGGCCCGGGGGCATGGGAGAGGCAGCCTGGTCCGAGGCGCCCCGCCAGGGGAGGACCGCGGCGGACTTCCCAGCCCTGTCCCCTCCTCAGGACAGCGGTGTGGTCCCTGCAGGAGTGGCACCCAGTGAGCTGTCCTCAGAGTGGAAGAAGGCGATGGGGCCCTGGGAGGTCTGGCCCCCTGGAAGGAGGTCGGCTCAGGGCAAAGCTGGCGAGACGGTGCAGAGGATGAGGCTTCATGACGGGTCACCGTTCAGGAGTGCCAGGGTCAGCAAGGCGGGAGGCCTGCACGCTGGGCCAGGCCCCGGGGAGTGCTCCCACTACCCGGGCTTCTGGGGGAGCCCCAGCCATGGTGCCACCAGGGCCGGGGACGGGTGGCCACAGACCCGGGAGTTGGCCCCCTCTGGCTCTGCCCCCACGTGCTGCAGGCAGGAGCCGAGCCAGCATCCGGATCGGATCCGGGTACACGCCGTTCCCGGCCCAGGCAGGTCCCTGCAGGAAGGAGGAAGGAGCTGAGGGAGGAGGCAGATGGGTGACCCTGCCAAGCGCCTGCCCAGTAGCCATGGCTGACAGAGGAGAGGGCAGCCTGGGTGGGGGGCCTGGGGAGCTCGTGGGGTCTTGGCCGGAAGGTGGCTCTTGAGTCTCCTGTGGGGCCTTCAGGCAGGGCTGAGGGAGGAGGCCATCCTTCAGACGGGCCAAGCCCAAGCCCCCGCCATCTGCCCCAGCCCCCTGGGGAACTTGGCCTGATCCCAGGGGCAACACTGGTCCTCCCCTTCTCTCCCAGGGTTGAAGGGTCACCGACACCCCCTCCTCCCTGCCTGGCACACGTGGCTCAGCGGGGCTCTGCCACCCTGCACGGCTGGGTCACCACCAGCTGCTTGGGGCCGATTTTAAAAATAAAAGATAACTTGATATTTTTTTTCCAGTTTTTATTGAGTGAAAATGTCAAACCTTGCATCAGTCATGCAAAAAAAAATCAAATAAATAAAACACATATATTAAATTTCTAATAGCACTAAATTCAAGTGGAAAAATATTCAGTTCTTAATAACCAGGTGCCGAGGAGACCAGATTCAAGTAATCAGAGCACACGCTGTTCAGTTCGGTTCTCACGTTCTGCATTTTTTGTCTCAAAACCTCTCTATATATCTCTATATATCTATATATGTATATACATATAGATATATACACACATATGTGCATACATATTTTATATTTATATATATACACATACATAGTTATAAAACATTAAAAAGAGCATTGGTGGATCAAGCATCGTTTTCCCCACAGAAAGAAAATAAAACAAAAATTACACATTAAAATTCAAAATGAGCTAGCAATGGCTTATAGTCCTAGTGTGCAATATGAAGGTTACAAAAGGCTAGACTTCGCACTGTCGGCGTCTTCTTTTTTCTTTTCTTTTTTTTTTGTTTGTTTTGTTTGTTTTTGATTTTGCTACATTGAAAAATGTTTTGTTTTTGTTTTTTTTTCTTTACAAAACTTCCTCCACAAGCTCCCCGGTCTGTGGCCGGGCACAGTCTGGGCGAGCGCTCAGCAGCACGTGGTGCCCACAGAATTCAGGAGGCTCTGGTGGGGCTGTTCTAGAAACGCGATGTTTCCCGGTGAATCAGGCACACTCCGTCTGACCGTCCTCCCTCCCCGCTCCCTCTCCAGTTGCGATGATCCTGGCTTCTGGCTGTGGGCAGGCCAGAGGACAAAACAGAAAAAAAGAGAGAAAGAGGACGCCCCGGCCCCCCGCTGGGTGGGGCTCCCCTTGGAGACCTGTAGGGAGGTGGCTCTGGGTGACAGGCCTTCCCCCAGGCTGGGCCTTGCTCTCTTCCTGTGGCCGGAGTCTCAGGGGCCACCGGAGACCAGCTGGGGGCCTGGAGTGGAGAGGAGGTGGACAGGAGGGGCCGGTCGTGGGTCCCTGTCGCCCTCATAGCCGCTGGCCAGGCCGGTGCCTGCCAGGCCGGGCCGCTAGGGGCCTGGTGATATCATCTCCAGGAAGGGGGGATGTTTTGAAAAGGGAACCAAATCTGGGTGGGTAACACCAACAAAGAAGCATCCCAAACAAAATAATAAACTGGGAAAGAAAAAAAAAGCCCTATAAAGCCACACACATAACCGATAGAGAAAAACTCAAATGTTAACTACAAACTTGTATCAATGGTAATAGTCCTTTTCTCTGGCCTCTAAAAAATTCAAGTGAAAAGTTGGAATCGCGTAGCTCCCGTCAGTGCTCGTGTAGAGACGGCCGCGGCCTCAGGCCCCGGGTACACGCCCAACAGCCCCAGGAGCCACTGCTCTGTCTCCAACCTCAGGGCGGGCGGAGGTGGGGCGGCGCCCTCACCTCCCCGCCTGCTCTTTTCTCTTTTTGTTCTATATGTAGAATAATAACCTTGACAGGAAAAATACTGTACAACTTTCTTGCTTTTTTTTTCCATTTTGAATATATTAAAGCCCCAGTCGCATCTCTCCTGGCTGAGACCTGGTGGGCCCAGCACCTCTTCCTTTAGGAGGGAGCCCCTTTCCCGGGGCTGGTGCGGGGCAGTCCCAAGGCAGGCCCAGGGCGCCCCGCCGTCCCCAGCCCGGGGACAGGTGCCGGGCCAGCCCTGCCGTGGGGACAGCGTGACCAGGGAGCTCCTAATTCCATGAGGTGTCCTCCCAGGCCCCGCACGGTTGCCCGGCTGACGCCTTCCATCCCGCCCTCCCCCAGGGCAAAGGGAGGGCCTGCCAGATGCTACAGGTGCGGCTGCCTCTGGTGGTTACGGGTGGGGGTCCCAGTGACCCCCAGCACCCGACCCCGTCCTGAGCAATAAGGAATCCCACTGGCGTGGGCTTGGGGCCCGGGGAGGATCGCTGGGGGCAGCTGCCCGGGGTCTGCGCCCGCCTCGCCCTCGGGGACCCCTGCTCCCCTCTCCTACCCCGGACAAGAGCACCTAATTCCCTGAAGAAGACCCCGACCTGCAGCCAGAAAGGGGCCCTCGCGGCCAGTCCTTCCCAACGCGGGGCTGCGCGGGCGGGCGGCGGTGGGGGTATAGTGCCCTGTGAAGACGCACACCTCCCACCGCTGCATGATAAGACAGATGTTAAATAAGTAACCACAAGAAAATGTGAGAAGGGGCGGGAAAGAAGTTGCTGGTACTCCAGGTGCGCAGAACAGGGCGACCTGCAGATTTGTGGGAGGCCTCGCTGCACCTGAACCATGAGCAGGGTGGCACTGAGTGAGGAGACGGCACGTAAAGGGCAGGAGGGGAGATACCAAGTCTTTTTTATTTCAAGCGTGATTGGTGGGATAGAGCTAGGTTTGTGAGAGTCATATTTTAAATTTCAGGTAGCATTTCCCCCTGGCTATCCACTATCTTTCCACAGCATATTTTATAGTTAGGTTCTGGAGGGTAAGCCTCATAAAATTCACAAATTTTATCACCCCACATTAAAGTGACTGGTATGACGATCTGCATGATTTAAGAGCGTGGCTAATTATCCATCTCTTAACCATTCGCAAGGTCAGTGTATCAGCTGCCCAGACGCTTGTGCGAGTCCATCTGCGACATGCCCACGACCGTGTGGCGGCAGCCGGGGTAGGTGCAGTGGAAGTGCGAGCACTTGAGCTTGTACTTGCAGTCGGGCACGGCGCAGTCCGCGCTGGAGCTGAACTGGCAGAAGCCGGCCGCGCTGATCACGTCCTGCTTGCCGTGGTGCTTGCGGTGCGCCGTGACCTTGGTGCTGTCGGTGCAGCGGAAGCGGCAGCGCAGGCAGTGGAAGTGCGTGCTGGTGCCCGAGAAGGGGCAGTCGGTGAAGTGGCAGCTGAGCGAGGCCTTGAAGCGCTTGAAGTCGTCCAGCACGAGGTTGTCCACGCGGTCGTGGTGCTGCGCGTGCTTGTACATGTGCGTGCGCCCGCAGAACTTGTAGCCGCAGTTCTCGCGCGTGCAGTGGTAGTGCGTGACCTTGAGCGAGAACTGGCAGGCCGCGTCCTTGCAGTCCTCGTAGAGGTCGAAGCGCCGGAAGCCCTCCAGCATCATGCCCTCGTCCAGCATCTTGCGGGAGGAGGCCGTCTTGCGCCGCTTCCCGAACGGGGACATGTCCTCGATGATCCAGAAGCGCTTTTGGCCCCCG